GCAGACTGAATGTTGGTTGAACACTGTTCGTGTTTTATATTTACATATAATAATTATATTTCCACAAGAAATTCAGTTGGCCCCAATTATTGTCATAATATGTATTGTTTGTAACATATTTCTATGTTTGATAACACATTTTCTATAACATACCTAGTGTCTTATACCTCCAACATGCCTCTATAAAAAGTACGACTAACGTCTGAGTTAAATAGTGTTGTTTAACTTGTAAGTTTATTAAACATTAGCTTTGTCCCATCTCACAAAACCGTAATATTACGGTCATCGTCATGCGCAGTAAATAAAAACCGTTCGACTTTGGGCTTTATTGATAGGTTTTTATTTACTGCGCATGACGATGACCGTAATATTACGGTTTTGTGAGATGTTGGGACAAAGCTATTGAACATAGTGTTCTTTTTTTAAAGTCAACTTATATTGTTACATCACTATACATGGTATAGAATACCCCTGAAAAGGTATCGATGAGCCGATTTTAAAAATATAACCTTTATAAATGAATAAATGAAAATGTTTTTATGTTATTTAAATCATGCTATTTTAAAAAAATGGCATTTATTATCACCAAAACTAACTAGCTCGAGTTTGACATATGTCGTAAAAGAGTAATACAAAAATGCAGACAGGTTTAGTACCGTCATTGCTTCTCTATATCTATGATTTGAAAGATTGGTATGGCCCTCCCTACTTTGTGACGTCACGGTATATGTTGCGCAAATTAGGCTGATTTAAGTTATTTTATAACTGTTTCACTACGTTTCAGGAATCTGTTATCGTGTGACCTCTCTTTTTAGCTAAAGATTTTTAAGAACGCTCTCACTCCTTCTGGCTCACTTATAAAAGCGCGCCACGAAAACGCGATTAGCCAGAGCGCAGTGGCGTACCCAAAAATAGATATTAATTAACATGTATGAAAACAATAAAATTGAATTAATATTTTTATTTATTTTAAAATAATGTGTTTTAATGAAATGTAACTGGGTGTTCACTGCACAAATGAACCAATGGAGAAACCGCCCCTGTCTACGAATGCCATAAATTGTTATGTATAATTTTTTTTTACAATACCTGGAGTTTTTAAAAAGTAGATTATTACAAAATCTTTGTTTTGTCTAGGTACTAATTACTTTTATTAGTAGTGCTGTAGTAGGTTAAAAAAACATCCTGTAAGTATATCAAAAATAAATCACTTAAAAGAGTTTCGATTTTTAAAAACTCATCTGTCAAATCATTCTTTGTTGAATATAATATAATTTCAAATGTTTGTTTCCAGGAAAAATATGCTTTTTCTTTGTAATACAGTCACAGACATGAAGTTTATTTGATTTTGTTGCAACATAAGATAAAAATAGTATCTTCTAATTAATCGCAACAAATATTTAGTTGCACTGAAAATGTACCAAGTTATCTGTTGGCTAATTCTAGAGCAATGTACGGATTTTCCACATGCTGCTATTAATGATAAATTTATTTTCAAAAGTTTAGAGAATAATTAGAATTATTTGTAATATTTTACCATATTATTAAGAGGAGTATTTACTTGGCTTTAGAGCAGAGCATTCAAGGGTTTCGTAGTACCCCACTTTTAAAGTTTATTTTTGCCATATTTTAAAAGAAAAAAATATGTGCGTGTAGGTAAAGGTTAAATCTGTGCTCCTCTTAGAAAAAACTAAATTGAATTTTGAAAAAGTGGTTCCAGAGGAGCATACATTTAACCTTTATCTACACGTACATATTTTTTTCTTTTAAAAATACTTAAAAATAAACTTTAAAAGTGGGGTACTACGAAACTCTTACATTGCAAGATTTTTCGTCTGGCAAGTGGCGCCTCTGTTAGATTTTTAAGAAATTAATATTTGTGAATGAAAACAATTTACAAAATATTTTACTGATGTTTTACGAGGGATAATTAAAGTTTACGTATTTGTAGGTACACCTTATTGTTTTACGTAAATCATTTCTGTAATACTAATATAGACATATTTATATAATATGCAATGGGTTTCATAGTACACCAATTTTACGGATTATTTTTTATTTTTTGAAAAATTATGTAAGTACAGGTAAAGGAGTCACTTTTTGAACATTTGAATCGGTTTATTTTGAGAAAATGTAAGAAGATATCTTTCTATCGAAAAAAAAAAAAAAAAAAAAAAAAAAAAAAAAAAAAAAAAAAAAAAAAAAAAAAAAAACAAGTAAAAATGCTAGAAGAGAACAATATATGTTTTTAATTTTTACAGGAACATTTATTTTCTTAATAAAAATTAAAAAAATACGTTAAAAGCTTTTTCGTCTAGAGGGCGACACCAATAAAATGTATATCCTTTTCTACTGTTTAAAAGAGATAAACGTACGCAAGTGATTGAATATATTTTGTTTTATGTCTGTACACTTTGTTATTTTTACATACAGTAATTTCGCTCAATTATTTTAAATTAATTTTATCATTTATTTATTAAAAAAATATATCCGAAATTAAAAGGTATACAATGAGATTTAAATTATAAATTAACTTTTATATTGCACGGGAATTTTTTTTAATGAATACATCTTCGAGTTAGGAATAATTAATTCCAGCATGTTAACAACTCTTTAAGCTGTTAAAGTAATGTATATTTTTTCGAACTTAGTAAATCATTTTTTTTGCTTTCGAGCGTGGCTTTGATCTCTCACACTCTTTGATGCGCGTTGCAAAAGAAGATGTTCTAAAAAGTTTGATAATGTCTATAGATGAGAAAAAATGAATGTGACAAGAGATCAAGCTGATTGTGGATTGTAGCAAAATGAAAGACGAAAACGAGTCACTGTTTCAAAATGTGGAGACATTTGTAAAAAAAGGAAAGGCATTTTTTAAACAATCTCATAAAATCTTTTATTTTTTGCTTAATCCTTTTAATATGACATGGACAATAAATCCAGAGCAAAATAAGATTTGGAAATTTATTAGCAAGAAAAAGTTTTTATATGTGGACTTTTATTGATTCCGAATTTGATTATGTTCCTGCCAGTCAGATGGAATTTAAAACAAAAAACTCTATGATAGAGTTAAAATGTCCATATGAAGCTAGAGTGTTGACTGAAGAAAAAGGAATATGCAGTAGAAAAATAACTCTGAAAAAACATTAAGGGGAACCACAATCGGTACTTTCAAATTCAGGGCTAGCTGCACATTACACAAATGAATTTTTGCATTTTGTGCGTTTGTTATATAAAATAATGTAAGAGAGTCAAACAGATTGCATACATTTCATCCCTGAGAGAGACGCATACAGTCAAGAGACTGCTTCCTTTCCTGTAAAACCATGACATCAGTAATTGTTTATTGCTATATTTTTGTTAATTTCATAGCAAAAAATATAATTATTAATATATTTTTTTTTTTCGTCAAATGAAAGGTATATTTCTAAAAGAAGATTTTTTAACCAAATTTGTCGACAGCCAAAATAAGTTTTAATCTACACCATACTTATATTGTAAAATACATACAGTATGGTTCAAATGAAAGGAATAAATTCATTTTAATGGAAGTTTTTCGAAAAAATGCTCGGACAGGTCAATTTTGTTTACTTAAAGCGCAATTTTTTAAATAAAATTCTATTTTCCCCCACTTTCCATTTTTGGGCAGTGACGTCATTGACAATTTTTTTAAATAGCAACCCCAATTTTTTTTTCTTGATTTTGATAGATCTTGCAATTTCCTACTCGGAAACATAATATTTGAAATATCTGACATAACAATTTTTTTTGAAAAAAAGTCATTTCAAGATCAGATACATAAATTTTATGTTATTTTGAAACACAATAAATTAATAACAGATTTATTTGTAATTAAATGCTTAATCTAACAAAATAATAAAAAGAATTTGTGAAATTGTCATTAAATTCGTTTTATTATTATTTTTTTAAATTAAGCACTTAATTACAAATAATTATCTTTTATTAATTTATTGTGTTTCAAAATAACATAAAATTTATGTATCTGATCTTGAAATGACTTTTTTTCAAAAAAAATTGTTATGTCAGATATTTCAAATATTACGTTTCCAAGTAGGAAATTGCAAGATCTATCAAAATCAAGAAAAAAAAATTGGGGTTGCTATTTAAAAAAATTGTCAATGACGTCACTGCCCAAAAATTGGAAGTGGGGGAAAATTGAATTTTATTTAAAAAATTGCGCTTTAAGTAAACAAAATTGACCTGTTCGAGCATTTTTTCGAAAAACCAACTACTTCCATTGTAATGAATTTATTCCTTTCATTTGAACCATACTGTAGGTAATATTATTTTGTGCTATTGTGGAATATTTTTCGGTTCCTTTGTCTTCAACTTCGCGCGTTAAAGTTTAGAATATGTATCCCTCGTATCTACATGCAATTGTTAAAATTATGAATGAATGCGGATTTTGTTTAGTCTCTGAAGTAATTTTGTAGTATTTAGTAGTATTTAGTTGTAATTTTTATACCTACTAAACTACCGTTGCCCCGCAGGTCTTTTAGTTTGTAATGTAAATTTTCCTCTTAATAAGATTTTGTCATTATTATCTTTGCACTAGTAATTTATGGCTGGTAATATTGACAAAATTACATTAAATGAAGTACTTTTTGAAAGTACATCATAGAAGGAGTTAAAAAAACATAGGTGTCAAGTTGCCAGCTTTTTAAACAGTGTAGGTAATTACCCTATTTCTTATTCAAATGAAATTAAAGGTAATTTTATTTTCTTACATTATTATGTTAGATTACCCAAGTTATGATACAGAGGTTTAAAAAAAAATTCGTTTTTGGTGCATGACAGAAATGGGGCGCTCAGGGTAAGAGGGAAAGGGACATGCTGTGTATGGTCGATGAAACACAAAGATTTCGTAGTAAATTTAACTCAAATGGTACTTCATTTATAGGCAAATATAATAACCACATGTACCACATTGTATTATTTTGAAAAAGAACGATTTTGTTCTTGACACCCGTTAATCCTTGCAGGACCTCCTAATCCTGACAGCGTTCCCGAAGATGGTAAATTGAAAAGCGAGATGATGATCAAAGATAACCGCCGATATTATTTGGACCTGAAAGAAAATTCGCGGGGCAGGTTCTTGCGAGTATCCCAAATGATCACGAGAGGAGGACCCAGAAGCCAGGTGGCCATTCCTGCTCAAGGAATGATCGAATTCAGAGATGCTTTGACCGATTTGCTTGATGAATTCAGTACCGACGAGCACGCTTACAAACCCGACCTGCCCGAAGGTCGGCACATGCACGTCGATAACAAAAATTTCTATTTTGATATAGGTAAGAAATGTGTTTTCTGGATAAACTATTAAGACGGTTTTCCACTAAACGGACGGTTGAGTTTATGTTTTGTTTGTGTTTTCTGGAACTTGTAAAACAAAAACAAAACTGAGACAAACCCAATACTCTTGTTTCCATCAAGCGGACCAGATATTGTTCCAGTTTTGTTTTTGTTTTCGGTCCTTTTCCACTGGTTGTCGCGAGAAAGTCAGAACACATTTTTCAATATTTTATTTATATTTATAATACCTATTTATTTTTTAAGATAGGTCCAATTTGAAAATATACATAAAAGTAGTTTAAAAGATGTATGTGACATCATAAAAACCTAAAATGTACAATATTTGGACTTAACCTAGTCTGGCTCTAACATACAGATATACAGGGTGAGTCGGGAGGAGCGCACCAAACTCTAGGAGTATATTATACACGTGAAAATAATGTAAAAAAACTCATATGTTCTTATCCGATTTTCATTTGTTTTCAAGTTATAGCATATTAAGAAATAAACAAATTTACACATAAAAATTCTCTTAATCATAGCGTTCTTTCAATAAATGTTCAAAAATACCGCCATTGACTTCTAAACATTTTCTACTTCGTCTACGAAGAGCGTTTGTTGCTCTACTAATTGATTCATTTCTTTCTTCTTTAATATGGGCTGCATAAATTCGAAATTAAACGTTCAGTTACTGTACACTGACAGTTCATCAAAACGTCAGAATTATCAAATGCCTTTGAGCCTTGAACATATGGCATACTTTGATAATGTTAAAATTCAGAAGTGGAAAGCTAGATGAACATTTTTAATTACGCCATTACTTGAAAACAAATGAAAATCGGATAAGAACATATGAGTTTTTTTACATTATTTTCACGTGTATAATATACTCCTAGAGTTTGATGCGCTCCTCCCGACTCACCCTGTATACTCTACTAATAAACATACTTATATAAATTTATCCAGCATTTAAAAATAAATTACTTATTACTAATTAAATATCTATAAAAAAATACGTTATTTACTTACCTGTAGGTACCAATTTTGTACAAAATTCAGACTACACAACACGACCGTTTCCAGTAAACAGACTCGAGTTTCAAAACACGTCGAAACCTTTTGATGTTAGCTTCCGATTGGAACTTGAGAAACAAAACTCCAACTATCCCAAAACACGCCAGTCTTCAAAAGTTTGTGAAAAGTTGCAGTTTTTTTCGACACGAGTTTGTATTTTGTTCTTGTTTTGTCCGTTTAATGGAAAACCGCTATTAGATGATTCGTCTATTTATCTGTATACAACATAAAAGTTTTGGCGAATATCGAAAAGAGGAGCGCGTCGAGTACTGATCCTTAAGGCGCTCCTCTCGCAACGATCGTAATATTGATTCGGTTTTAGTGATTAAGTTGATAAAAAATATATTGACGGTAAACACGGTTCGTAGACACTACGGTGTCCTCTTCATCCGTTGCTAAGGAAGACTTTGACGTCACGGAATGTAAAATCAAGTTGACAGAAAATATTTAGCTGCCGTTCGTACATTAGTTTTTTAAAAAATCTAATATTTTCTTGATATTTAGTGGTGTTTATATTTTTATTTTTGGACTATACACCATCAAATTTCAAATGAATTACCTTTTATTTGAATTATAAAGATAAATATTATTGTGTGAATAGTTTTTTTTAAACATTTTGGATTAGTGTACGACATCCTTGCTAAATTCGGATCACATTTTGTTTATATTCCGAAATATTTTGAAATTTTGACAAGCCTGGAGCAAGCTGTAATTTTGGCAAAGTTTTGGTGTTAGCAAACAATTTTTACTGTTTACACACAAAAATCGTTAGAATAAATAAATAAACTGAAATTAAAGACTAATGGTAAGATTTTAGAGTAATTATTCTGCAAATATCATTCACCATTTTTAAATTAATTGCCGTTTTTTCCACCCTACATTTAAAAGCAGACGAAATGGATTCTTACAAACATTAAAAACAACCGAGAGCAAAAAAGTCGAAAGGGCTTTACTAAAAGAACATACATTTTTGGAAAAAGGATTGCTACAGGAAGTTTTTAGTAAAAAGTACATAGTTACAATTCATTTTAAAGAAGAAAATTTGAGCCTTTTAGAGCTGAGAAGAAGTTTGTAAAGCATCCATGAGAAGATATTTGAGTAAAGGGTACTATATTTACCTTAGAAATACTCTAAAGTATCCCTTGCTGGAGATTTCAACTTTACAAAAGTGTCCTGCTAAAATAAATCTAAGATAAGGTACTCCAACTATATGTAATATCTCCTCTGTGTATTATATGTATATGTTTACTTGGCTAGTTTATAGACTAGCTGGATAGTATATAAACTATTGAAATGGCTGGCTGTTTTGATGGAAAATTATATTTCTACTAAAATAGCTATGAATATTGGTTGGTTTGTATATTATCCAGCTAGTTTACAAACTACAAGATTTATCACTAAAGCACAAACTACAAGAAAAGTACACAAATTAACCGCCGTTTTTGACTACTTAGTATGTAAACTGACCAATTCTCTTTGGTTAATTTAGGATAGTCAAAAATACAGTTTATTTATAGGTAAAACATATCATTACTATTACTGTTAAAAAATAAAACAAATAAAAGTATCATTAAAATATTAAGTACTATATCACTTCCAAAAGTAGGTTTTCAAATTGTTGCTGCTGATTAATTTTCAATACCTACTCTTAAACAAATTTTACAAGACACCCCAGTAAACCGCACACAACACTATAAACATTACTTCACTTTTTTAATAAATTAATCAAAGAGGATTTGTCATTTTGCATACTAACGGACGAGTTAGTTATTATGTTACTACGAATATTAAGTTCACACCTTATCCAAATACTGTGGATAGTTTGTAAACTAGCAAAAAACACCAGTTAATTTGTATACTTTTCTTGTGGTGTGTACTTTAGCTATACATCTTGTATAGTTTGTAGACATTTGGATTGTTTGTATACTATCCAGTGAGTTTATAAACTAGCCAAGTAAACACTTATAAACACAATAGACAAAATTGTTTTTCTTTAATTTGGTACCTATATTTATAGATTATTGTAATAAAACTGGGTTGTTGTTGTTGTTTTATTGTTTTTTTTTAGGTATATTATACTGTATACATTCTAGAAACTGACAAAATATATTTTTTTATTTCTGATATAAATATACATTTTATGTTTCTTCTGAAGTCCAAGGGGTCCTTGTTTTCTTCTATAAAATTATTTGTAACTACTTTTTACTAATAAGTTCCTGTAGAAAATCCATTTTTTCAACAATGTAGATTCTTTTAGTAAAGCCCTTTGACTGTTCTTGCTTTTTGTTGTGTTTAATCCTTGTAAGAAACCATGTCGTCTGCTTTTAAATGTAGGGTGGATAGAGCTGCAATTAATTTAATAATAGTGAATGATATTTTTAGAATAATACTCGAAAATCTTACCATAAGCCTTTAATTTATTTATTACTTCTAACGATTATTGTCTGTAAAAATTAAAAATTATTTGAAACTCTGCAGACAACAGCAACACTACAGCTAGCTATAGGCTTGCCAACATATCAAAATATTTTTATATATAAACAAAGTGTGATCCGAATTCAGCTCTTAGGCCGTACCATAATCCAAAATGTTTAAAATAAACCATTCACACAATAATATTTCTGTTTATAATTCAAATTAAAAATAATTCATTTGAAATTTGAAGGAAATCATTACATGATTATTTCTTGCTGTTTTGAAGCTTGTCTTGCCGATATTATAGAAACTAACACCAAAACAAAGTTCAAAAATAAAAATATAAACACCACTATATAACAATAAAACATTAGAATTTTTAAAAAACTAATGTGGGACACCAAGTAAAATACTTTCTGTCAACTCATTATGTGGGACACCAAGTAAAATACTTTCTGTCAACTCATTTTATCATTCAGTGACGTCACTGCGTCCTTAGCAACCGTTATGAGGCCACCATGCTGTCTACGAACCGTGGATCATAAATATTGAGAAAGCAGGACAGATAAAGACGGGTTATTTTAGGCTGAATTAAAAAAATGATAGGTTATTCATTTCTAAATACTAGATTAACCATGGTTTGCTTTTACCCAGGCGTCATAAGTTCTGCATTTTTGGAGTGAGTGCAAATCTCAGTTATTGTTAAAAATGAGGTTTTGCCAGTGCATTGTCTAAATATATTCCTACATAAATTAATATCCGCGCGACCGCCATCCGCCGTGGTTTGCGGCTCGTGCTTTATTCACCTAATTGCGTCAAAATAGATTAAGCACGATAATTCGCGGGTTTTGTGAAGGAGAGTTCTATTTTGTTGATTTCAAATGAAAACGGAAAGATCATCTTTAACAATAACTAGGGTTGACGTTATTCGCAATCACTCAAAAAATGTAGCAATGCCTTGTTGATATTTTGGTGGTTAAGTTGGCAGTGGTTTTACGTTTGTTTCTAATTTAAGATGTTATACGATACATTTGCTTGTCCTAAAAGTAAGGTTGCAACAATGTAACACCGAAGTTTGTTGATATTTGACATTGCGTAAGACCAGAACAAACCATGGTTGGTCTAGTATTAATAAAAATGATATTACCCTTCGATTTTTGGTGAAGACTATGTTATGTGGAACATGTTTTTAATGTTTCCAATTTAAGATGAACGATACATTTGGCTGTCCTAGAAGTAAGGTTGCAACATTGGATAACTTTTTTTCAGGACAAAACAATCGTGGTGTGTACATGCGCATCTCCGAAGTCAAAACCAATTTCCGAGCAGCTATAACTGTACCTGAAAAGAGTTGGCAAAGGTTCAGAGATATATTAAGTGAATATTGTGACAAAATTAAGCAGCCATCTCAAGGTTCCGGTGGGGGTATTTCTTCCCAAGATCAGCCACATTCTTTGGTAAGTCACAGTTTTCTATTGTTTGTCAAAATTGCTTCTTTTATTATTAAAGGAAGCGCAAATACAGCATTTTTACGTTTTCGATAATAAATTTTAAGTTTCTAAGAAATAAAAATTAAATTTTATCGAAACTTTGTGATTGACAATAAAAATGAGATGTAACAATAAGATCGTAAAGCGTTATGTAATTTAAATCGATAAAGTTCATATTGTTTTTTTTTTATTTCCAGTAACAACATCGAGATATTTTTTTAATACTGAATTAATAGGGAGTCTCGTTTTTATTCCAGAAATTGATATTTACCAGAGGGAGCTCCTATTATTTTGTGAGATATTTTATTTTATTATTCCATTTATTTTAGTCGTGATTTTTAAACTTTAAAACGTGCTTCTAATTTGATGTAATAATAATTATTTTATTGCTTGAAATACATATAAGAAAGTAGGTAGGTATTTTCTCAAGCTTGAATATTTTTAACTAATTCAGTTAAGGTAGTTCACTCGTAAAGCGGCCTTTCTTAGGAATTCAATAAAATTGAAATATGAGGTTAATGAAAGTGTCTTTTATGTACCTAAAAAAAAATAAAATTTTTTGACCGTCTGTTAAACGAGATATTAACAATCAAAATGTGCATAATTAACACTCTTGAAGCCCTGTCATGTACACAATCATTGCATTTATTTCAAGATATCTCGAAAACGGTTCTTACCATATTTTTTAAAAACTAATGTAATGTAAATCAAGAAGTTATAAATTTTTTTAAAAAACGCTGAATTTTTTTTACCGTTTTGATAAAGAAATATAGATTTTTAAAATAAAAATGTTCTTAAAGCAGTCGACGCATAGTGGCGTATTGTGATTACAATTTGGCAACGTTGTAATCGATACAGTCAACGCCCACTAATTCAAATGTCTGTTAGATCAGTGCTTCCCAACCTTTTTATTGCCGCGGACAGGTCAAGTTTATCACTTTATCGAGGCCTTCTGGGAAGGGACGTTGTTTATACTTTAGATTGATATGATTTAACAATTTAAATTTAATTGTATTTAAACATGTCTTCAAAATTAAATAAATATGCAAAGGATGAATATAATTTTATTTAAACATGCCTTCAAAATAAAATACAGTTACACAAAAAAAATGAATATAAAGTAATTTAAAATTTTAACTTACTAGTATGAGGAAGTCATAAAAAAAATAAATAAAAGTAATGATTTTCTGTAGTATTGATGATATCGTAGGAACGTTCATGACAGCAAGAAATTTATTTAAAGCAGTTTGACCAAACCCTGAATGGACAGCACCTTTAAATAAATAAAATTATATTAATTATATTAAAAACATTATAAACATAACAAATACTTATGTATTTTTTTTTAAATTTACCTAGAACTGCTTTAGTGTTGACATCTGAATGCTTAACTTCACTTTTTATTACACTTAACATTTAAAATTGAATAAAAAGGCCCTTTCGTGTTTTATTTGTAATATTTTCAAGAGAAAGAACTCTTTCACACCAGCAACATTTTAAATGTTTTCCCAACTCTAGTAATTCCACGATGCGACCACTGCACAGGTTATTTTTCAAGCTTGGGTTTCATTTCTCAATTTTTTTGCATTATTCATAGCCAAAATTGATTTTTTGCGTTTGTTGAGGACGTTCTGCTTAACAAATTTTCCTTTATCTCGCAATTAATTGGTCCTGACAATGAAACATTTTGATATTTACATTTATTTTACTTTAGGAATACAGTTGACGTTTCACAATATATTTGCGGCGTTGCCGGATGGATTTTACGCGATATAATACCATGTTTGTATATAGGATCACATGTGTTGTGTGTACAGTCTGTTACAAAAATAACCTTTCTTTAGATTTAAGAATCTCCAACGGTTGGTTATTCATTATAGGGAGATATTTTTGTGTACGACTGTCGCGAGTGAACTACCTTAAGTGCAGTCTAAAAATGTTGCGTAATATACAAAAAGTATTTGAAGCTTGATTGTATCATTGTATAGAAACGAATGAAAGTCAGTTTCAACACCTAATAAAACAATTCCATTTGAAAATTAATCCGTTTCTGTTATTTAATTGAAATTATCTGTTACTTCAAAACGATTCACTTTACACCACATGTATACATTTTTGAAATCGAATATTAGAGGAGTATAAAAAAGCAATAATATGTTCCATTATAATAACATTGGGGTGGGCATGGGGAGGTGAGGGTGAAAGTATGTTTGAACAAAAAGACATTGTACTTAGAAGTAATTTACTCCAATGGATTTTGTCACATACTTCTGATATTTTTTTTGTTTCTTATGTATTGTAAATAATCTTTTTTAAGTTTATCATTGTTTCTTTCAGGTTGGTAATAACACCCAACAAGATACCGGGACAAGTTTAAAGTAGGCTAGTTGGCCATTTTAGACTATTAGATTTATTAATATAACAAATTAAAAAATTGGATAGGTACAGAAGTCGATTTTTTAACCCTAACAAAAAAAAGAAAATTATTCCCCCTTTTCAATTATTATTAAATATGTGTGATTTTTGAATGTCAGGCTGAGAAATCGACAACTGTCTAAAAATATTGATCAGTTCAAGGAGTTGGTTTTTTTGTGCAGTGTTACGAACACTATAAATGTTAGATTCTCTATTATATGTTACAAAATAATACTAAATTATTTATTTAGTTGTTTTAAGTTGTTATGGTAGTGATGTTCTGTTCTTTTGAATAAACAGTAGTCAAGCATCAAAGCATATCAAATGCCTCTGTCTCTTATCTCGTTCTTACTTTTGTATTCATTTACCTTAGGGTTATGGAAAAGTGTTTTTTTTTTTTTTTTTCTTTAATTAGTAGTATTTATTTTGATGTTAAGACGCCGAATTAGTGTTAATAAGCGGTTTTGGATGTTTAAGTATTTTTGGTAGCTAAAATTCTTAATGGTCCAGTCAATAGATTGACAAATTTGACTCATTTTGATCATATATGGTGTTATAAAAATTAAAGGTAATGCAATTCTCTGTCAAAACATGAACAGATTTATCCTCTGAGCAAGCAGGAATCCCTAAATATGCCGTTAATTAGTGAAAAATTAAATACATGTTCATCTTAATCAAGACTAGATCAGCCTTTCAAGTCTTATTACAATGATAGTTAATTAAACAAAAAGGAGCCACTTCTAAAAATAAGGATATATTTAGACATTTGACTGTGGACAAACATTGATAGATAATTTAGTTACCTTTAATTTTGGATGATAACCAAATTTAACAGAAAATAAGTATGTAAAAATATCTTTCCGAGTGAATAGTGGCGCCAAAAATTTGAACCTAGATTGTTTTTTTTTTTTTATTATTATTATTATTATTATTTTAATGTTTAATTTATTGGTGTAAATATAATTTTTACATGCCTTAATGTACGTTTTCTTAGAACGTTAAAAAAAAATTGAAAACCCTTTTTCATAACAATATTTCAAAGGATAATTTTTGTAGTTAACAATATTCCAACTGCCATAATGAATATTGTTTATGCATTTGTTTGTAATATCCCACTAAAACTTATAGACATAATAAAATAATGGGGACTATGGTTTATTCAAAAGATTAATTTTATTTTCAAAGGTTTGATGGGCACCACTTTTTTCTTGTGATTTTTGGAAATATTGTGACTGCGTTTAACGTTTAACATTGTTCTACATTTCTGTGATTATTTTATCTTAACGAAGAAAAAAAAGCTTTATATTTTTATTATGTTAAAATTAATTATTTATATTGGATACAATAAATAATAAACAAACCACAAATTTATCTGAATGTTTGCTTATATAAAAAAATGCTTTCGATGATTCCCTAACAACACAGAAGGACTTTTACTGGATCTGGAAACCTGTTTTTAAATAAAAAACTATTCATTTTTAAATAAATAATCTCAATGACGAACAACTACTAGACCAATATTGTTATCCAACATAGTTGCCAAATTACTACAGGAGAGTATCTACAAATATTATTTATGATTATAATTTAGAATTTACTTAACAGAAGGCTCTAAAACACACGAAAGGATTGCAAAATTAAATGAAGAAAGTATATTTGCATTCTTAATGCCAGTTATTATCAGTTTAATACATTTTTCTGCTTTCAACTTTTGTAGTTGAAGGTGATTTCAGGAAAGTACGCCATTTATTTTGCAGGATGAAAACAGTGTAAAACAAGCATCGTAGTCGTAAGTTCTGATTCATTCATAAAATGCGTTCTCGCAAACTATCTTCACTTAGTTTAGTGCGTGTCTCGCTCTTTCTAATTCAACAACTATATGTCTAACATAAAACACGAATACTTGCAAGTAAACAAATGCTTATTAAGGAATGAAAGGATTAGTCTTGTAGTTGTTAATCATTGAATAATCCTATAGAAGTGAATTTACATTAAAATCTTTGTTTTTAGTGTACCTGCAGTCTATCTAGTGAAAGTCCATATTGAAAATTTGTTTATCTCAGTTTTGTACATATACGTGTCAAATTGCTATATTTAATACAGGGTGGTGAGAATTTAAACACTATTTGAATTTCGTTAGCACATACATGTCTATTTTCAAGAATTTATTGGCTTTCTCAAAATTAAAAGAGATATTTAGGCAATACCACCAAAATTTGGCGATTTTCGTTTTATTTTATTAATCAAAGATTTTTGTATTTCGTTAAAAGAAAATTTTGATTTATATGATAGTGTTGCCAAATTTTAATTTTTTCCCATATTTTTTTTATAACGTCCTTGGACTGGAAATAATGTTCTAAGTTGTGAATATTGTCAGATTGTTAATCAAATTTGTCATCTAATGGTGGCATTCAACATGTGCCATTTAAAAATTGAGATTTTGGTATTTAAAAATTGAGATTTTGGTAAGTAAACACGTTTCAGAAATATATTTTTTATCTGAAAGGATTTATTTTTAACTGAATTGGCTTTTGTTTCAAGTTTTTAGAGGATTTTAGAACATTTTTCAGTTCATGGTTTTCTACGTCAAAAATATAAACATTGGGAAAAATGAAAATTTGGCAAAACTGTCATTTGTAATTTAAACCTTATATTCCAAAAACAAAATCAAAACTTAATGACAACCGGAAGCAGAATTCGGTCATTTGGTTTAAGCATAAGTGTCAATTTGAAATGAGTTCTAGTAGGTTCGTCATAAATTTAACAAGGCCCTGGTCTCGTTATCACCCAGTGGTATAACTCTTGAAGGCATTATGTGTTCCTTTTATTCAAATGTTGCAACAACGTCATTTTTCCATCCATTAATAGTGAAATAATTATTTTTATTCAACGTTGATGCAATCGATAGTACATCAAGCTGTCAGTTTAAACCTGTGGTTTTTCTGATTATATAATATAATAATAATAATAAATAATAATAATAATACTCTCCCTAATTCACCCCCTGACGAGTAAATTTTAACCCCAAAAGCTGAGCTTGTGCGGGGAAAGGGACGGCTATTATTATTTGCCGTGGCGCTCCGGGGCGACTTAAAGATATTTGATGGTGCCATTTGACTTACAGGTGAGGAAAACCCGGAAAACCTCACCCACCATCATCGAGACGGTAATGTATGGCGATTTTTTATAATCTGCATGTCATATCAACAGAAAATTGAATTTCTATTAATATTAATTTAATTAAAAATCCACATGGTCTGGTCTGGGATTCGAAGCCCAGCAGTTTCTGACACATAAACTTGCTTATAAATGAATATAAGCGCGTTAGACCACTACACTACCGACCCGATAAATAGATGGGACAACTAACTACGCTTTTAGAAAAACAAACTTTCAAATTAAGGTACACAAAAACATTTTTTTCATGCAATAATATATTATATTGTGTCCTTACAATTTAAATTAAATGTAAATAAACACAAAATTTAACCAAAACACAAATGTAAATAAAACAGTTATTTTTTCAGTCCTTATTTAAGAAAAAAATAGTTGAAGGAGGCTCTCGAACGACGAAACGTCGTTTTAAAAATTTATCTTCGCTATGTTAAGCAATTTTTGAACGGCAACTAAAAAGGGCTCGTAAAGTTTTCTTTGAATGATGATTGTTATTAAATAAAACGAAAGTAGTTAATTTCAGTTTTTCCAAATATCTTGGATTGTGAATCTGAGATTTTAATTAAAAAAGAATGAATAAATTCGTCTTAAAAAAATCACATCTTTCTTTCCCATTTAACAAATTTTAACAAATTCCTATTAATAAAATTTTTCACACTCTGTATATTTTTGCCCGGTTAATGATTACAACTGTTCTTCTTTTTTTATTATTTGTCGGGCTTATTAATTCCAGGAAACCTGTTTGACTTATGACTGCACCTAAATAAACGAATACCTTAATAAACTTAATTGAACACTAAAACGAGATAAACAGGTTTATCTATTATTTATTCCAACCGATACCTATAATATAGGTTAGATATTTTAGTTGTATCAAAATATGTATTCACTGCCAATCTAAGTGCTTAATGAGTTTCGATAATATATTTTTTTTGCTTAATTTATGTAGTATTGGCCATGGAAAATCTTCCAATATCCCTTGGCACAAGTGAGTGAAAACTACTGAGAGTCAGCACTAGGGCAAGTAGGAAAGGAACAATAACAGTGATGCCAGCCTACACGGCCCGGTGGATCAACGCGAGCGTTCGTATAAATGGCAACGTTGACATCATTCCTTTTCCGCTAGATCCAATGCCAACTCTCTGTATCTTTCACTCGCTCTTGTTTTATCGCATATTGGAAAACGTTCAGTGACCAACACCGTATATTATTGATACCTACTGTATGTTTTGAATTAATTGATATCAAAAAGTAAAATTGAGAAAGTAAGCGTGCTTTTGTTGGTTTAACGATGAAATCAGTTGAAGTTATTCTGTAAAATAGAATTTTTGTATGGTGGAATTGGTGTTAAATAAATAAACAAACAAAATTATGCTTTTGGTAAGTAACTCAAAATTTAAATAGTTTTGTATTCATTTTTGTTGAATCGTTCCAATTGAAGTAAAGGAATTGGGGTAAGTAAAAAAAAACCAGTAAAAAAATTATTTAAACATTCCTTTCCATCTCACCGCTATTTTTATTTCTACTGTTTTTTCATCTAGTTCTGCATTTTTTATTCTTATTTTCCCTTGGTCTGCCCAATTTTTCTCTCATTCCGTTTGTTACCACAGATTATTTATATAATGTATAGATCCATTGATATTTTGACAGTTTATTTCTAAGTTATATCCCTAAAACTTACATTAGCATATCCATGTCCTTAAACAAATAAGGGGTCCCATGCTCAATTTGTGATAGACAATTCTAAAACTAAATATCACCAACCCGAATAGAAAAGATATCATTGCATCGAGCTTCTTGCATTCGAAATAGCTAGATTTCAAACCAGTGGTGTATACGATTAGTAATCACAACAAGCCAATTCACCAGCGCGGCGCTACTGAAACTGTTCAAAGGCGATCGATAACAGCGGACAATACGCATTGTGACTTAATAGTATCTTCTCTATTCGGGTTCCTCTTATGCAGATTTTTGTTTGTTTCAAAGATACATGTCTGTAAATAGTAAATAAACAGAATGAGGGCTAATAATCGTTGCTTTGTCTCTAGAGCGCGCTACTGACACGGGAGATCAACGTGTCAGTAAAATTTGAATATACACGAAATTCTTATATATTCACAAAATTGTTTTTACATTTTTAGACTTCTAGATTAGCATTCTATTAACGAAATTTGTTGTCCGAAATCCGATTTAATCTGTTAAATTTTACTATCCTGTTTCTAACAATAGATACAACTTGCATTCTTTTCTATTTTTGTAATTATCTATCCAATATGCTTTCAATGAACTCTTCCTTTCTCTTATCTATATAAAATAATGTAAAACGTTGCAATTTTTTAATTTATATATCAAAATAAATTTGGATATGACACTTTTGGCAGCTCGACAGATGGACTTCGCATCTCAGTATCGCCATCTAGTAAGCGTTAATATGTTACCCCTCTTTAAACGCACTTTGTGTACCAGGGTGTTGGTGAGAAAGCACCTGTGTTTGATGTAAACATTCTAGATGCAGCTTGGTTGCCCTCTAGGTTGTATTTTCACCCATTTCTTTGGTACTTTAGACTATACATGAT